CGCGTTGGCGGTGCACGCTGACGGTTACAAAGCCTATTCTACAATTTGCAACGGTCATGTGCACACGAAAACATGAGATTGTAAGGATTATTACAAAAGCATACTAATGACAAATATAACATTTAGGATTGTAAGTCTTTTAAGGAGAAAACAATTGCCTGTAAATATTTTATGGCTATAATCAAAACTACGTACAACTATAGATTTAGGATTACACATTGACTATAAATTTTAGAATAAACAAGAAAGTGATTGCAAAAATGAATAGGAGCGACAAATTAGAATAGATAGAATTGTATAGGATTTATTAAAGAATTACTTTGATATAATTGTATTGAATATTTGGATATACTGGATTTATTAGCCCAATATATCCCAAAAAAACTTATTCAAAGGAAGACGTTTTTACTTTCTTAGTTTTTATTTAAACAATGTATGATTAATATAATTACCAAATCAAAGGTGATAGAAGTTGAATATGAAGTTGTAAAAAATAAATAAAATTAAAAATAAAAAGTGGAATTATTAACAAGACACATAAAAATATCAAGAATATAAATCTAGATAAAAGTTTAATAATAAAACATATTTTTATGGCATTGAAAGAAAAAAATTTAAGAAGTATAGTATAAATATATATATATATATATATATATATATATTACTAATTATTAAAGAACTAGAAAATTTTAAACTAAGACTCAAATACAGGAATGGCATTACTAAGACTAAGGATTGTCTTAGTCTTATCTCAATCTATACTAGTTATCACAAAGTTTTTGTGAAAACTTCTTTAAGACTATAAAGCTTGAGCTCTAAGTCTGAAATTGTAAGTAGCTTCTAATGCAGCTTTCTAAAAGTATGAAACATGTGGGACAAGTTTCAATAGATATGTGGCATATTTCTAATTTGAATCTATGAGACTTCTACAAATTGTTTTATAGAAGATATTATCTACCTAACATATTTCTACTTACTTCTACTTACTTCTATTTCTTTCTATTTACTTAGGTAATTTAGGTATTTGGTACATAATCATAGTTTTTTTTGTAAAAAAAAACTTTTTTATGAATAATTTTAAAAAAATTCCTACCAAATAGAAAAAAATATTAATGGTTTTATTTTGTTGATAGAAATTTTAAAAATATAATATTTATATTTTTAAAATATTAAATGAATCCATAAAAATAATTATTGTTTAATTTTTTTATTATACATCTTTTAGACTTTATACCTTTTAAGCTTAAGATTCTACTTTTGATTCTAAGACTATTTAGAATTTCAAAAAAATAGAAAAAATTAGAACTATCATAATATTGGCATAGATTATCAATTTCTTATTTTTATTTTTTATTGTGGTGTTAAAGATAATTATTAATTTAAATCAAATCAAATACTTTTGTATAGATAATGATAGAACAAAAAAATCCTAATTTTATCTAGTTTAAGAAAGAATTAAAAATTAAAAGTATATATTACTAATTTAACTATAAATAAAATAATAGTAGTCATTATCAAATATATCAAACTTCAAATCAAAGGTTGGTTTTATTTAACAAATTGCTACAGCATTAAAGACTAAAAAATGATGATAGAAATAATAAAGAAAATAAGAAGAAAAAAAAAGTAGGTATATATATATTTAAATTTAAAAATAATAAAATCTCTAATAGTAACAAATTGATTTAAAATACAAACTTGAAGTCTAATGGGCATAAAAAGTTTAAAACCCATTGAAAAAAATAATTGGTGGTTAATAATGTAAACTTATTAAATTTAGGAAGTTATCAAAACTATATCCCAAACCATATCATGATTAATTTTGGGGGACATGGAATAAGGGATGGAGATATGGATGGATGGAATCAAACATGAGATGGTAATGCAAGATGTGGCTTTAATAGCTCCCTAAATTTAATGGTTTAAATTTTGGAAATTTTTTTAAAAATTAAAAAAGAAGAAACTAGAGACTTAAAAAATTACTAATTGTAAGAAAAATATAAAAAATAATAAAATAATAAAATAATAAATTTTATTTTATCTTATTTAAATATATATATATATATATAGTGCAATATTATTAAGTAATATATTACTGCAATAAGACAACCATCAATATTGACTATCACAAAAATTAACACATATAAAGATCTCTTATCTTAAATTTACCTTATAAGTATTACAACTCCATATCTCTATGAAGTTGCAATAATCTAGAAACCACAAGTAGCTCTAAATGTTTTTTTGAATAAAATATCAATACAATTTTTTGACAAGATTCTAATATAAAATAAAGATTTTGGTTTTTAAAGTATAAATGATATATTATTATATCATATTGTTAATATAAAAAATAAAATTATTTTATAATGCAATTATCTATCTTTCTAAGATCAATCACATAATTATTTTTTATCATAGATATTGTATATAATTCATTATTAATACAAGATGATAATCTTGCTAATTTTTTGTAGTAATAACTATAAATAGTAAAATACCATAATATTATATCATGACTCAATATTTCATAATAATATTACTTTCTAAAGATAATGGCAATAAATAATAGACATATTAGATTAAAAATAACCAGAGATTAACATAACCATTATCTTAGACTACCACAAAATAAAAACCATGGATTGATAGCCTAAAAGTCCTGTTAGAATAAAACAATGGTTATAAGACCAAAATGATCATATAATTCATAATAATAGTAAGATAAATGTTGTAGTTGAAGAACCACAAGATAGTTATTGAATAAATTTTATTTATTTATGTATAAACCTCAAGAACAAATAAGACCTAATTATACAACAAAAAATGGTATAAAATATTCTTCTTTTTTTATTTCAAGCATAAGATAATAATAATTAATTATAAAATAGATATTTATTAATTCTTACATAGGTCTTTATAATTACATTAATGTTTTAAGGTACATAGATAAATAGAATATTGTGAATAATTTTTTTAAAGGAACCAAAAGTGTTGTTGTTATTTTAAGGGTAAAATTGGTAAAATCAACCCAAACATAGACCGAGGATGTAATGAAATTTTATACCAATAATAATTAATTTTACTTTAACAAAAAATAATAATTATTATACTTTAACTTTTGATTTAAACAACAATATATTAGATGGTGTAGAAGAAATTGATTTAAGTAGTAAAAAGAATAATTATTTTATCAACAAGTAATCCATCAATATATACAAGAGATTTTAAAAGCTTTAAAATAATATACAAAAATAAAAAAAAAAATTAGATTTTTTAGAAATAACTTTAGAAAAGATACAAGGTTTATTTATGTTTATGCACACTTTTCAAAGAATTTAAAAATTTATAAGCTATTTGATCATCTAAAAACATTTAAATTAATAAAATATTTGTAAAATATATCTTTAAGATATAAAATATTATTTTTAGTATAAGAACAAAAGAAATTAAATAATTATTATAGAACAATATTGGATTTGTATCCTCATCATAGTTTTAGAGTATCTTATGAACTCAAATGAAGAAGGAATAAGTAAAGTTTATTTTTTGATCATTCTTTTGAATATAAAGTATCTTGTGATAAATAGATTCTTTTAAACCGCACTTAAAAATATACTATAGAAGTATTTGAATCTAATATTTTTTAATGCTTCAAATAAATTCTAAAAATATATTAATTATAGATAGATTTAAAAAATATAATAACCAAAAATATTCAATAGATAATTTTTAAGATATAAAATATAATAGATTATTATAGAATAAATCTAAGTATTATATGAGAATATTTAATAAAGATAAAGAAAACTTTTGATTTTTCTTTTAAATCTCAATTTTAATCATAAATTCTTTTAAAGCTATTAAAAATGTAAAATTTTCATAGATTGGAAAAAAAAATCAGAATTTGTCTTGATATCAATAAATCTATTTAGGTTATAATTTTTTCATGAAGAATATATATTGGAATATGAAATTTGTAGTCTAGTGTAATCAACTTGTAGTAAGTAATATTTATTTAGTTATATCTAAATTTATCTAAAATATTTATTTAGTTATATCTAAAATATTATTAGAGTAAAAAATATATATGTAATACATTTAAAGGTCTAAGATCCAGTCCATTCTATTTAAATTAAATAAAAATATGAGAAAAAATATCTTTTTATAAAAATAACACAATTCATAAGATTGGTTGGTATATGTGAAAACATAAAATTTATTTTGCCAAAACCAATAGAAATAAAGCTATACCAAATTGGTAAGTTATCATACATGTTTTACTATAATACAAATCTATCCAAGCTACAAGAAAATAATAGCCCAATTAATCCTGCAAACAGTACCAACTTACTAAAAGATTTTGTTAAAGTTGCTTAGATAGCTTAAATGACAATAATCAATCAAAAAAGAGAATTATTTTGGTTTTTATTATTAACATATAGTTGATTTAATATTTGATCTAAGTTATACCATTACTCCTTTAAAGTGGATTTATTGTCTTATTTTGCAAACCTTAACAAAATAATAATAATAATAATAATAATAAAATTAGAAGAATCAACAACTTTAGAACTTATTAGTTTAATGCAAACCTTGACAAATATGATTAGAAGAATCAACCACTTTAGGACTTATTATCTAAATAGAACACAATTCTTGACTCAAAAATTTAGGTCAATAATGAGATACCTAGTTTACTCCTAGAACTTGGAAAGAGGCAATACTTGTAAGACTTATTTAACACAAAGGTGTTGTAGTATGTAAGTAGAAAGTTCATACAAACTCCAACATCAAGAGTCATTTCTCTTTGTACATTACCCACAACCCAGATGATCTTGGTCTCCCAGTGCATTTTACAACAAGTACTTGTGCATTCTGCAACTCAAGTTAACTAGGTTCAAGATTCTGAGAACGAAGTAAACTTGAGACCATTTGCGAGTGCTACACAATCCACAATCCTGTAGTTTATGATTGTTCAGCGATCTATAACAAAATGGTTGAAATATAACAAAGTGGTCGCGGAGCGAATCTACGAACTCTGAGGTTTGTGTATTTCAGTAATAATTACGATACAATTTGAGTGCTGCTCACCGAGGAGGCTCTTCTACTCGCAATCAGCATGGTCACAACTGAAATACTAGGCTCTTCCTTTCATACTATACATATAGATCATAAAGATCGTGATTGTATTACTAACAACAAATGCAGCCCCGACACAATGCTTGATGCTCTACCATTATTCTAATTGAAGTTGTTGATGGTGCTGGACAGGTCGGTACTCTACACATAATATACCATGCCCACTTCAAGGAGACTGATGTGTGGTATGTGAAAAGCCATCGCAGGCTCCCGACAGTTTCTTCGCAGAAACGTGTAGACAAAATTTATTGCAAATTTTTTCAACCAGGATGAAGATTTCTTCGCTTTTACGAAGGAGTGGCCCATCAGGTACGCAACGCCAGCTTCTTTCGCCTCGATCAGGTCGATCAGTTCCTTCCGCATCTCACTGTCGATCTCATTCTCATGTTCCACAAATAGGGGAATCTCAAAATTCGCTTGCCAGTCGAGCGTTGCGCAGGGCGAGGAGACTGTTTTGAATGACTGCTAAACAGCGAACAGTATGTTTTAGAAGCACATGGGTGGTGGACAAGAAGCGAGACGATTGTGCTGGATTTTCAATGAGGACAAGTCTTTCAAGGAAGTCTTGATCAGGCCTGGGAAATGCTCTCACCTGAAAGCTATCTCCGCAGAAGGTTTGCATTATCCTAGTGACTCTCTCACTGCGAGTCTCTGAAACGGGGAAAGAAAGGGATGCCTTCGATGCAGTGCTACCAGTCACGGTGCCCATGACTGTCATGCGACCGTCGAGCGACATCTCACTGCTGGAAGGTATCCATGGTGCTGAATTCTCAGTTTGAATGAACTCGGCGAGGTTGAATACGAGCTGGTTTTCGAATTCGCTGTCGTCGTTTCCAGTTGAATCCTTGTACCCATATCTAACTACACATCTGCACACGCAGTGCTGAATCTATCAACCATCGGGAAACAATCACATCGAGGGGTAAAGAAACATAGAAATATGGCAGAAACAGTGACCTTGAAATAAGAGAAAGGGGGCTCACCTGTACATGCGGTAATCTCGGGGACCAACACGCCCAACAAGGTACCGCTCGTTCGGTGGGACAAACGGGACAGCTACCGATTTCATACAGACGAAAACCAGGACTTGGTGGAAAGCTGGTAGATTGGTGACGAAGTGGGAGAAGATGGCGGGTACGCCTGTAACCAGTTCTGTGAAGATCAGCCCAATTCCAGGCACACGGACAACTCCGAGGCTTGGACCAAGGGTGAGCAACCATTTCATAGACACCTTATTTTGGAGATCGAATTTGTATTTCTTGGTCGTGCCGTAGTGCCACATGTACATTATGCACATCAGTATTCCAACAAGCACAAGTGGGACCCACCCACCCTGTGGAACTTTAAACAGCGCAGATGACAAGTAGAGAGATTCTACCGAGCCGTAAATGAGGAGGAAGATACAAGCCACAAAGATACTCCGTTGCCACACGACCACTATGACAAGGGATGTTAAGAATGTTGTCACCAGCATCACCACGATCACTGCAATACCTGCGGCACAACCTCAGGTAAACCTTTGTCAGTCGCCATATTTTTTTCAGTAAGGCTAATACTCAGTCACTTGTTTGAAGCATTACAATACATGAGCTCTCATCAACATGGATAAACTCACCATATGCGTTGCCGATTTCGATTGTGCTTTTGAATCCGACCGTGATGCTCAAGCTCAGGATGAGCATTATCCAATTTACCTCTGGAATGTAAACCTGTCCATATATGCTGTTTGATGTGTGTACCACTTTCACCCAAGGGAAGCACCCGAGTGCTTGACACTGCCTGACGATCGAGAATGTAGCAGAGATGACGGCTTGGCTTCCCACTACTGAAGCTAAAGTCGCTGCGGTTGACAAAAAAACGAATAAAAAATGTTAACAGGAACAAAACGACTAAACATGCAAAGCAAGAGCATAATACTTTCATTTTAGAAGTAAATCTAGGAAGGCGAGATGGACTGCTTACCTGTAATGAAGACAGGCCAGAATACAGGCTCTGCAAAACAACAAACTCGTCGGCTTAGTTTAAGCTTCAAATCCTTAACTTCGGCCAGACGGAGACTCGTGAACTGGCCACTCATAAAACTGTAAGACCTGACTAGGGGTTGGATATTTCTGGCACACGGTTGTCGAGCTTACTTGGGACTGAGCGAAAAAATGCGGAATCAAGATCGTCGAGGTTCTTCGACAGGTACGCAGCTTGTCCCATGTATCCCAGCAATAGACTAGGGTAGACGATCAAAATGAAGACAGCCTGCATCGTCACCAATTTTCAGAGACCCGCTTAAGCATTCATGCGGAATCTCATAGCCACAAGGAATTACATGCGACACTTTTGATAGGAGTTTAGTGGTAGTCCAAGTTTAACCTTAATAGATCTTCGACAAAAGTGACCCAAGTCGGCGTACATCGCCTCCGACCCTGAGCAAATCACAACCACGTCAGAAATTTGTATACAATGGCTTGGAAGCTATTTTTACAAAAGCAATGTGAAATCAGGACTCCCAGAATGAAAGTGAGAGCTTGTGGCCGACCTGTGACGCAGAGGAGAACACCACCAAGAGAAATCCAACCATCCCTGCCCGACACCTTGAAGAACTTGAATGTGTAATAGGGTGATAAAGCGCGAACAATGCTGGGATTATAGGCGATGAGGTTGTAGAGCCCGATGCCGCCATTACAGAAGAGCCAGGTGAGCACTATGGGTGCGAACAAGAAGGAGATGCGGCGTGTGCCGATGTGCTGTAGTGAGAAGAGGAGCACCAGAATGATACACGATACTAATATCACTATGTCTGCATTAAACATTCGATCCAAGTATCCGTGAGTCTCAACAATAAACAAAGCGACTACATTTGCGCAGCAATTTAATCGTGTCTCAGGCTTTAAAAGTTGAGACTCATAATTCTGAGTTCATGGAATCGTTTATCATTCGCTAACCCCCTGCAACCATAGCACCTTCTACCATTGCGAAGCAAAGATGGCTATGGCACACTCCCCGATAATCCACAACAAACCTGAGCTTCCTCTGTCGATATGGAAAATGTCACTGATAGTTCCTTTGGGATGCGGACGTGGCCGTGCCAACATCCACAAGGTTGACATCAGTGCATCCCCAATCTTGGTCTTACGCAATTGGCTTTGTGAAGGAGATGAGCTACTCACTCTGGTGCAATTGAGGAGCCGCCACCGAAATACCCGAAATTGCTGATAAAACTGTCACAAAGAAAAGTTTCACTTGAGCATTCAATCCTTCTACAAGAGTCGATTCGAACGAGATAATGAATCCACTCTATGAATATGGAAGAGGCTTATAACCACACCTGATATAGAAGGGGTTAGGACGCCATCTCCGATCACCATGCAAGTTCCCAGCAGCACAATGATCAGAAGCCCAGTTCTGAGTATTCTGTGCTTCTCCAGGAGCTTCCGCACTGTCCTACCCCGCGGTGTCTCCGGCGGCTCTACGAGCCTGTAGATTGAAAGTTCCATGTCCGCAGATTGCTGGTTGAGGATCGAGCTCAATTTTGCATGCCGGCAAAGCAACGAATATAGCGCAAATGTACCACCTGCGACAAAACTTTTTAAAATGATTCATATGCATGCAGAACACTTGATCAAAGGTGGACCGGGAAAAAGCTTTAAAGCAGGGATGAGTACCTTCTCCATTGTCGTCTGCGCTGAGAACGATTATCACATATTTGATGAGAGGTATCAAGGTGAGCGTCCAGAAGATGAGAGACAGCACGCCGTAGATATATTCATCTGTAACTGAGTTTCGGAGGTCTCCTAAAAATGTACTCTGAAAGACGTAAAGAGGTGACACGCTGAGATCTCCATAAACAACACCCAAGCTTTGGTATGCCAGTGTTAGGACCACCGCAATCGACGGCTGAAGCAGCGGCGTCTGCAAGTTCCGACAGGAGCATGAACATTGTGCTGCATTAGAATCTGAGACCACGGACATCGAATCATGCGCAGACTCTTGCCATCCGTAGAGCGAGAAGTGTTCTCAGACTTCCTTTTTAGACATGAAGATTTATGAAGATGCGACAGTCCAGACCCTGAGCGTAACGAACTTGACTGTGAGTCCACTTCCTTCGGAACTGCATCAACCTTTCGCAACCAAAATGTTCATATTTTCCAGTAACACATGCGAGAAAAAATGTGGAACAAATATTGTTGGATGGTGAGAAACCAAAGGTAAGATTACAGTATTCAAGTCCACTTATCTAACCTAGAATCGGGTATTTAACACCAGGACAATGGGAGTGTGGAGCGAGAGGATGATGTACCCGGCAACTCGATCCAGACTCTAGGTCCATGACGCCAGTCGAGCAGGAGAATTATGCAGCTGGCAGTTGATACGCTTGGGCAGAAATGACGCAGCTGTGCGCGAACCTGAAGTTGAGGACAACACAGAATTTCCTGCGCAGTGATCTTCGTATCACATGTTCTCCAGCTCTAACTGGGTACGACGTCTAGTAGCGGACGGGTGTCCGCGCAGAGCCGGCAACAAGGCGTGACGTCGGAAACAGAATGTGCCGTCCATGCCTACTGTTGACAGCTGCTACTGAAACTAATTCAATATATATATATATATATATATATATATAATTTTTTCTTAATTCTAAGAAGACAAAAGTCTCCTCCTCAGACAGTCGCACTTGCTACAGCTGCTCAACTCTGGAAAGACTACAATTATGAAAGCTACAATTAACCGTTTCCGACGAAAGCTGACGATACCTGTTCTTAAATTGTCACAGATCATACGAGCACCTGGACGAACCAAATTTCAAGTCGAGCTCATTCAGATCAGTTAGAGTCGAGGGCTATCCCTTGGCCATAAATTCACAATACGCTCCCACCAAGTTCACTCTATTGACCTTATCACACCGGCAATTCTGATGGTCCAACAACGGAAGTTCTCCCTCAACAGTGGCCGCTCAGGAAGCTAAATATATCCCATCAACGCCCGACTACCATTCAACAAAACCAGCACTTGAGAGCTGAAATAAAGAGATTCCCTTCAGATTCGACAAAATATTCCGCAACGTCGTCGGATAATATCCTCGTCGTCAACCCAGAAGCTGAAAACTAAGATGATAGCAAACTCCACAGTCTCGACTCACACGCAACACCAATTCACTCTCGACCAGCGACGTTGAAGCAAGCAAGCAACCAACCAACCGCTCACTGAACATCTCAACATCGACTTCAACAGCCAACAGATCCCGATCACACCTCTACAAGATTCCGGAACATACTCAACGAAACACCTCGGAACCCACTCACGAACACACAAACAATTCGCTTTTGGATCAGACACAGACTATCGCAACGGCGACGGGCAGCCTGGCAAACCACCGCCTTCGCCGCAAAAACTTCTTCCTCCCACAATCAATCCAGAAAAGAAGAATAACCAAAAAAAATAAACGACAAAAGGTATAAAACATAACATAACAGAACTCCACCCCCCACCCAACTCGTCACGTCATGGTGAACAGGTCCCGAACAAACATACATGCAGCCGCGTCTCACGCCCAACACCGACCCAGCCCAAACGCTACGGATCCGGTCTCGGCCATCATCCAGTCACGAGCAAGCTGCACTCCGTCGTCACACCACCCAGCGCGGCTGTCTCCACCCCGGCTGTGTCTGTATATGTCGTCCTGTCTGCTCGTGTGCATATTCATTGTTCTCCTCCGCCTCGCCGCTCCTTTCATCTCAGCTGCACCAACACCACCACCAGTGTCTCCCCCTTCGTATTCTTAATATATTAATTGTTATTTTTATATTATAATTATTCTAATGACGGGAATCTACTCAAGACATCTGTCGGATGCTTCGATCTCCCCACCACCAGCGCGCCTATTATTCACCTCGGTGGCCGTGGCGGAGGTTCCGGCGACTTCGTGGACTCGCGCTGTTCCTCATTTGGGAACCCAACACCGCGACGGAGGAGAATGTGAGGGTGTGGGATTGCAAGACGCGTGTGTTGCGACGATGGCTGCGTCTCCCGTTTGACGAGGCCCTCTCGGGGCCCCTCATCAGTATCGTTTCGTTGATGGGGAGGATTTCCGGGGCCATAGTGACCTTTCTCGCCCTCGATCTCTACTCTTTTTCGTTACTCGGCGCAAAATCCTAATTCAGTTCTTCATGAATCTTTGGCTTGTCGTGTTTCTTCGTCTCGTTTCGTGTCGTTTCGTTTCGTTTTAGTCGCAAGCCGTCGCGTGAATGGCTCCAGTGTATGCGCATCCCCCCCTCCCCCCCCCAGAGCTGGAAAAAGGCTGGATCTGCTACAACGATGGATTCGTGAGTCTTTGCGCATCCCAACGACCCATCTCATGGCTGTTTTTTTTGTTAATACATTACGTCTGATTATTCTTGTCCTTTTTCTATGTTCATGTTTTTAGTTGGGGTTGAATAGTGTGTGAGGTTTGGGAGCAGGAGTGGGGTGATGACATTGAGTTTCAATGGTCCAAGTGGCTTTGGCATCGATCACTTTAGTTTTCTTTACCCTTTTTATTTGGGTGTGTGGTTTTTTTTGGGCCTGGATCGTGCATCTGGAAACTCGAAAAAGTGTAGAATCCTTGGCACCTTTTAACAGTCAATGTGGAGAAAAGAAAACAATGAGTTGTGGGGAATATCTCGATGATCCTTCACTAAGACCCTCTTCCACTTGTGTCCCATTTTTGTGATAGAAAAAAAAAGAAAAAACATTCTATACTTCTCGCTCTGAGTTCTTCTGCAATTTTTATTTTGTATATTTTTTTCTATTTCGGGGCAATAAAAAAAATGAGTATCTGCATTAACAACCCAGTTTACTGTTCTGTTTCATTGGATGTTTCAGTCATTGGATAGTGACCACACCGAGGAGTTCGGGCCACTCCAATGACTGGAACATTGTTCACAATTCAATAGACTTTTGTTTACTTTTTGCTTAACTATATTTGAGTTGATTTGTAAGTTGATGCATACCTTTGATCTTTTAATCATATATTTTAAAACTGTGAACATGAATCACAAGTTGACTTGCAGATTCATAAATTTAATCAATTTACATACTAGTAGACACCCATACCATTGCAATCTTTGGCAATGCCATCCATCCATTTCCTTATTCATCCATTCTTTATGCATACTAGAAGACTTCTTTGTCTCTTTGTCTTATATCCAAACATTATATAATAGATTAGTTTACAAATCTTTTTTTTCTTTTTCTTTTTCTTTTTCTTTTGAAAATTAGTTTTTGGAATCTTATTTTTTGAAAAAAAGCCATTATTTTATTCTTTGAAATTTGTAAAAAAATAAATACGTTGTATGTATATTTTTAAAAACAAAATTCAAAAACATTAGTTGAATTAATTTGGATAATACTTAATTTCATATTAATCTAAAAAAGATATCACAACTCAATATTAAAGCAAGGAATGCAAAAATAAAATTTGTAGAAAGAATAAAATAGATTTTTTTGGAATTATAAAATTGAGCTTTGTAGAAACTTGAATAAAATAATTGGTGTACTTTTGAAGAATAGAATGTACTAAATCCTCAAGCAATAAATGATGCTACAAATTTTCAATATCAACAATTCATGATTATATTAGAATAGTAAAGTATTGAAAGATGATATAAAATTATATATATATATATATATATATATATATATAAACTTTTTAAAATCACACTCTAATTTTATTCAAGCCACATCTTTCTTTCCACTAAATGATTCAAATTTTACTAATCTCATGTCCCAAATTGTGCTTCCATCTCATGTCCTTCATTCCCTATTCATCTATCTTATGAACCAAAATAAACTCTCATTAGTTGAAAATCTAATCCAATTCATAATGATTTTAATTAACTAAGTTTTCTAAGAATTCCTATTCGCATTTGATTTATGTCCAATACTTCCAATAACAATCCAATTGGAAGCTAGATAAAACTTCTAGTATGTGTTTTACTCTAGCTCTCAATTACTAATTAAATTATAAAATGATTAACCAAATTCCTTTTTACTTCTTACTAAAAAGTATTTAAATTCTCTATGTAGCTAAATTTATATTTATAAAATCCTAAAAATAGTATAAGTTCCTTTAACAACTCAAAAAAAATACCACAATTAAAAAAAATTACATGATTTTATTTTGGCTTTTATTAGATTTTTATTTAAAATTTTGTTTAATATTAATTATCATTAAATTTTAGATTTTTCATCCATAAATGAGTTTTTGTCCACAAATAAAAAATCATCTAAATTCATTCAAATTTCATCTATAATTCATCATCCATTTATTTTAGAATTCATCCATATAATCCTAATTCATTCAACATATGCCGTAACTTAACTCAAGAAAATTCAATTGTTTAATAACCATTTCTTTTTATTATGATTGTATGCCTTGCATAAGTCTCGAAATCCTAATAAGAATTTAAAATAAAAATATATATATATATATATATATATATTAGAATTAATGGATTCTAAACTCTGAATTTCAATTTGTAAAGAGAAGTGACTTGCTTACTGTACTTGCTACTCCTCTTATATAGCCATGGTTGACGATTACCACTGCACAGTCTTTACAACTCCACTAGCTCTTTTAAGCTTGCACACAATGTCATGAGTCTACATGTATAGCTTGCTGGTGATCATTGTTTGTTGAGTGACTCAACAATACTTCAATGTTGCAATAGACCGACCTCCTTGGAAGCTAATAGTAGCTTGAATACAATCCCCATTCCAATGACTACCTAACCTCAGATTGAAGTTGACATCCTATTCTTTCTATACTTGGTAAGTTTGTATAGTTTGACATGCAACTTATTAACCAAATCTAGTCTCTAGGCATGCACAATATGCTCCAAAATGACTAATAGATATAATAAGGGAACTCTTAATTGCAAAAGCTTATGATCAAAAGTAACTACATACAACATTAGAGACGAAGTAGTCACCGTTGTTGCTTTGATTGCTACTTCAAATGCTTTGCATTCTCCATAGCCATTGCAAAACCCAAACTACATGTAATTCAGGTTGTATCCTTTGTTCATTCACAAGTGTATAGCATGTCAAAGATAAGCTCGAAGCTATTGATGAAGCCTCCTCTTGCTTTCCTAATTCCTCTACTACTACAGACTAGAAATTGAACTTGAGCCATACTATTGTGCAAGATTGTATTGAAATGCACACCAATTCAACATTTAATAGCACAAAGTGCAATAGAAGAAAAATTCACTCCTTCTTGGATTCCATTTAAACTCACAACTTCAATGGCTAAAGAAAGTATGTCAACAATATGTACTAAGAAGCAAGTTCACCCTCTCTTCAACATTCCACAATTATTTCTAAATGATGTTGCAACGAGTAGATATAGCCATTGCAAGCCTAAGATTTCTCTACATCAGCAAAAGATAAAAGGTATTGAAGAAATAGTGTCAAAACAAAATTGAAGTTCACACCAACAATTATAATAACACAAGAACCAAAATGTAGGACCCTTGGCACAGATTTGGTCAGAGTCAATGATATACTAGGCAATCTCAAATTCCAATTGGTCACAAAAAGATACCATGAATAATGATCAAGCAAAACATGATCATTAGAACCACTTTAACTCCTTAAGCAAGGAAAACACCAAATTCCAAAGCAACAAAATGCACTGAGCAAAATCTTTTATAGAGAATGAGAGAACCTCAATGAAAAGCTTCAGTACCACTATAAAGGCATGTGCAACAAAAACTAAGATAATAAAGAAGTCATCACGTTACAAACTTGGCCCTTAAAAACCTTAACGACAAAAAAGAAAAATGATGATGTCAATCCCACAACATGCCACTAGATCAATAACTAATTCCATCCATAGAAGCGCATTGTATCAGTTACAGACCCAAAACCAAGCTTGATCTAATATTGCTCTAGCAACACCAATTGCCTCAATTGAGAGCAATTTCACAACAAGTGAATTAATTATAGAAACCCTATAATGTTTAATTCTTATTTAAATCTTACTTAAATTGTTTTTTTCCTTCTTTTAATCAAATCCAATGTTATTAAGCAAGTCTCTAATTCCAACTCATGATCACCTTAGTAGATCACTCAATAAATTCCATGCAATAATATTTTTTTAATATGGTGATTATATAATATAATATAATATAATATAATTAATTAATTCTATTTTAAATATGTATTTATATATTTATTTAATTAAAATTCATCCATTTTCAAATTTTCATCTTTGAATAATATTCCATCTGTATACTTCATCCATACTTTAAAATGCATCCTTGATTAAATTTATCATCCAAATTCAATCATTCATCCAACTAACTTAATTCAATCCTAATCCTAATCTATTTGTCTAACTGATCATCCAATCCGGGGAGTTCACCCCTTGGAAGTAGATGGCAGTTCGAAGAAGGTCCTCCAGCAGCAATGATGACTGGTCGAGCAAAGTACTCTTATGTTTTTCCTGCAGAAATAACAGTCAGCCTTGTCGATGAACCACACCAACATCTTTGCTAAATTTCCTCCTAGACGCCCTTCGAAGTAGATGGCAGTTCGAAGAAGATTCACAACAGCGATCATCACCAGCCTTCAAATTGGAACGCCACCGATTTGCTCAAATTACCGAGTGGATGATACTGCTTGAATGGAGCTAGACTCGCATTTCTAGTAGTTGGTGTGGTTGTAGAACTGTTTAGATCTGCCGTAGCTTCTCAGCAGACTAGCA